GGGGAGAGTGCTGAGATCCTTAGATCTCAGTCTCCTGAGGAGCTAGGATCACAGGCATGAGCCACCCATGCCCAGCGGTTTTGTTGTGTTTTTGAAGTACTAGGTTTCAGTTCTTGTTGCTTTGTTTTCTTTTTGGGGATATTAAAGATTGAAGGGCTGGGAAGGTGGCTCAGTGGTAGAGCACTTGCCTTGCATGCCAGCGGTCCTGGGTTCGATTCCTCAGTACCACATAAGCAAAAAAGAAAAAAAGCCGGAAATGGCGCTGTGGCTCAAGTGGGAGAGCGCTAGCCTTGACCTGAAGAGCTGAGGGACAGTGCCCAGGCCCAGAGTTCAGGCCCCACGACCGGACCCAAAATAAATAAATAAAATAAAGATTGAACATTGGCGCCATCCTGGTGAAAAAGGTCACCTCCGTTTCTTTTTTTTTTTGCCAGCCCTGGAGCTTGAACTCAAGGCACTGTCCATGAGCTTTTGTGCTCAAGGCTGGCGCTCTACCACTTGAGCCACAGCTCCACTTCTGGCTTTTTTAGTAGTTAATTGGAGATGAGTCCCTTGGACTTTGCTGTCTGGGCTGGCTTCAAACCAGAATCCTCAGATTTTAGTCGCCTCTTGCAGCTTTTTAATGGTTCATTGGAGATAAGAGTCTTGATGCAGTTTTTCACCCAGGCTGGCTTTCAGCCATGATCCTCAGATCTCAGCCTCCTGAGTAAGTAGGATTACAGGTGTGAGCCTCCAGTGCCCGATGCTTCATGAGTTTAATATATTTGTGTTAAATTGCTGTATGAGGATTCCTCGGTTGCTTTATTCTCTTCTTTCTCTTGCTTTTTCCTTATTCCTGCAACACTGTCCAGGACTCTATAGCCTGGGGAAGGAGCTGCTGCTGGAGCAGCTGGCCCTGGAGTTTCGCACCTGGGTGGTATTGAGTCCTCAGCGCCTGGAACTGGTACAGCTGCTAGGCCTGGCCGATGTGTTCACCGTGGAGGAGAAGGCTGGCCGCATCCACGCCGTGGACCACAGGGAAATTTGCCACGCTGCCATGCTGCGCTGGAATCAGATCCACCCCACCATCGCGATCCTTCCCACAGGCCGGAAAGTCGGCAGGCCCCACCCAGATGTCCACATCATCCCCTACTCTGACCATTCCCCCTTCTCGGAGCTTCGTGCCTTTGTTGCAGCGCTGAAGCCCTGCCAGGTGGTACCCATCGTTGGCCAGCAGCCCTGTGAGGGCTACTTTCAGGACAGCCTGAGCCCCAGGTGCTCTGTGCCCCTGATTCCAGACCCAGTACAGCAGTTCATGCGTTCCTCCTCTAAAACACCCGGCATTTTCTGGCTGCTGGAAAAGAGACTGAAGAGGCCAAGAATCCAAGGGGTTGTGTTTGAATCCCCTGAGAAAAGTGCTGATCAATCACAAACTAACAGAGACTCAAAGAGGACGAAGAAGGAAAACCATTCCCCCCAGGCTGGGCTCCCCAAGAAGCCCTGTTGCCATCCTCACCAGGTCAAGAAGCAGTTGTTCCCAGACTCTGGCAGCCAGGCACAGGAGGAGGCAGGCCCTTGCTGTGAGTCACAGAAGATGGAGTCTGTGTTGAATGCTCCCTTGGGATTTTCGGTGCAGTTAAAGTTCACAGACAAGGAGTTTTTCTCTCTACAGACCCAGGAGGATATTGGTTTAGGGTCCCCCTTGAGACCTAGTAGAGACAACGGTCCCGTAGCCACAGAAAACCAAGATGCCTGGACAGGTGGCGCTCCCCTTGGGAGCGGCAGCAGGCCTACCCCTCCTCCAGCCACTGAGCCCAGGGGCCTGGCACAGAAATACCTGCTCACTCCAGGGAGCTTTTCCCAGGCAGGGTTCTCTTCCCAGAGCTTTGATCAGCAAGTGGAAAAATACCATAAATCTCTGGAGGACAGATGGGGTGGTACACAGTGACAGTGCTGTTTGGGTTAGCATTAAAATTTTGTTTTTTTTTGTCAGTCATGGGCCTTGAACTCTGGGCCTGGATGCTGTCCCTCAGTTCTTCGGCTCAAGGCGAGCACTCTACCACTTGAGCCATAGCACCACTTCTGGTTTTCTGGTGGTTTATTGGACTTTCATGCCCAGGCTGGCTTTGAACTGCAATCCTCAGATCTCAGCCCCCTGCGTAGCTAGGATTACAGGCATGAGCTTGGGTTTCTTGTTTCCAGGCCTCATCTTACAGGAACCTATGGAATTACCTCCAGCAGCACTTCCCAAAAAGCTTGTCTGGAGTCTGGTGCCTTTGAAATCCTCACTTTGTAGCTGACTGTTGTTATAAATTCTTTACTGTGTGCCTGCCACATGGAGGTTTCTTAGAAATCCTAAGCAGCTTCATCTGTTTAACTTTGTTTAACCCAGTTTTTACTCCAACCACTAGCCTTTTTATTAGGGTACAGAGAGTAGGTTATTTCTACTTTCATTTCCTGTGTGTGCTATTCTCTGCGTCTCTCCTTTTCCTACAGGAAAGTTCTAGGTGTTTTGTTGTTGTAATGGTGTACTAACGGGTCAGCCGGCGTCCAACCAGCATTTCACGGTCCTGAATGCCACTGACTTCCTGTACCTCCCTCAGGGAGGGACAGTGGCGAAAAATTCCACCTCTACCTCCTTCCTACTGCCTCCTGTCACCTGAGCCCACATAGAGGCCGGCCAGCCAGGACCAGGGCCAGGACACCGTCCCCAGGCTCTACCTGGAACCCAGCTGAACTTGGGGAGCGGGGAGTGGGGAGGACTATTTGGCTGAAATGAGTTACAAAAGGTAAAATGTGCTGCCAGATTTTTTTTGATTGTTCGCATAGCAAGGATATTTTTTGCCCCGCCCCCACTGGTTAGAGTTAGATAGCCGGAGCGAGCAAGCGCACAGCCTGTTTGTGTTGGTATCCAGAGAAGATATGGGGCCAGCTGGCTGGAAGGGGTGAGGCTCGCAGCTCAGCCCTGGCCTTCCGCTCATTGCCTGACAACATGCCAAACCAACAAGCAGGAGAGCTGGCTCTGAGAGCGCACATGGAGCTGGGCGTGTAGACCAAAGCTCCAGCCCTAGCAACAAGATCTCAAGGCTATTCCTTAGCCTCAAGCTTGCTATTTCAGGAAGGAAAAATGAAATTAGAAAGCAAAATAAGAGCCAGGTGCCTGTGGCTCACGCCTGAATCCTAGTTACTCAGGAGGCTGAGATCTCTGAGGATTGGGGTTTGAAGCCAGCATGGGCAGGAAAATCAGTCAGACTCCCAATTAACTTGCAGGAAACTAGATGTCACTGTGGCTCAAAGTGGTAGAGCACTAGTCTTGAGTGAAAAAGCTCAGGGACAGCACCTAGGCCCCAAGTTCCAGCCCCACAAGCAACCAAGGAGGGGAGGGGGGAAGGGAGCAGGGAGTGGAAGAAAACTAAGGCTTTGCTCCTGAGCAAGTGACCTTGGCTGTGGGTGTCCAAGGCCTGCGGGGATGTGCAGTAGGCAAGTGTGTATCGCTGAGGAAACCCCAGCATTGCTCATGTCCGGGACACCTGGTAAAGTGCTCCGGCGAGGACAGCTCAGTCACTGGGCTGTTAAATGTGGCCTGTGATACCTGCTGCTCATGATTACTGTGGAGATAACACTTATAAAATACTAATTCAGTCTGTCCCATGACAGTTTTTCACATACTGATTCTGTGGCTGGCAGTACTGCTCAGTGGTACAGTGTGTGTTCAGCATGCTGGAGGCCGGCCGAGTTGAATTTGGAACATCACATGCACAGTTTGAGTCTGGTTCTAGAAATTACATATAAAATAAAATTTGAAAATCTTGTTAAAATATAGAGTATCAGTTACTCGTGCTTGTAGCTATTCCAGGCAGGATAGTCCACAAGATCCTTACCTCCAAATAAGCTCTAAAAAGCTGAAGTGGAGCTGTGGCTTAATTGATAAGGCACCAACCATAAATGAAAGAGCTATGAGACTGTCCAGGCTTTGAGTTCAGGCACCAGTTCTGGTGTACACAAGTTGACTTTATTTATTTTTTTTGGTCAGTCGTGGAGCTTGAACTCTGGGCCTGGGAGAGCGCTCTACCACTTGAGCCACAGCCCCACTTCCGGGGTTCTCTGAGTACTTTATTGGAGATAAGAGTCTCAAGGACTTCCTGCCTGGGCTGGCTTTGAACCATGATCCTCAGATCTCAGCCTCCTGAGTAGCTAGGATTGCAGGCATGAGCTACCAGCATTTGGCTCATGTACGTAATTTTGAATCCTGCATTTTAATACCTTCAGTATTTTACTGTGTCATTCAAAAATGTGTTTTAAAAATCTATTTTTAACTTATTTGTAATTTTTTTGTACAAGAGGGTTTCAATTAAACATGTCACATTATTAAAAAGTCTTTTAATACTTGTGTGATATCCTGTCAGGTGAGTATACTTTAAATCATTTTCATTATTCAACATTTTGTGTACTGTTTTTAAATTATACACCTGTCAGAGGCTCAAGCCCATAATCCTGTTTCCAGTTCTTGATAAAAATTGTATGAAAGGGGGCTGGGAAGGTGGCTCAGTGGTAGAGCGCTTACCTTGCATGCATGAGTCCCTTGGTTCGATTCCTCAGCACCACATAAGCAGGGGAAAAAAAGCCAGAATTGGTGCTATGGCTCAAGTGGTAGCGTGCTAGCCTTGAGCTGAAGAGCTGAGGGACAGTGCCCAGGCCCAGAGTTCAGGCCCCACGACCGGACCAAAAAAAAAAAAAAATTGTATGAAAACGGCCTCCAGGCTGGGCATTAGTGGCTCACACCAGTAATTCCAGCTACCATGGAGCCTGAGATCTGACATTGGAGGTCTGAAGCCAGCCCTGGCAAGAAAGTCCAGAAGACTCATCTCCAAATAGCCAGCAAAAGCCTAAAGTGGAGTTGTGGCTCAAGTGGGTAGCATGCTATCCTTGAGCAAAAAAGTTGAGGTCAGTGCCCTGCATTTAAGCCACAGGGCCAGCAGAAATAAAGAAATGCCCTCCAGAAAAGTTAGCTTGGCATCACTGCTGCAGAATAGATAGCATTAAAATATATTGGAGACTCATTAAGTGCAAATATCTCTAGAATGATAGTGAAGTCATTTTTTATGTTGTCAACAAATATTTACCACTAATATTTACATTAAATAGGAAATGTATTTCTTCTGAGTCTCTTGCAGTCTGGCTCCGGTGGGCCCACAGGTGGTGGGGGAGATAAGGTAGTTCTTTGAACTGCCCCTGCCCTGCCCAGGGGCTTATCTGCTGGCAGCAAGGGGGCCTGTCCTCTGGTACAGGTTCCCTGAAGTGGGTCTCTGTAAACTCAAATGGGGATGGAAACAGGCTTTGAGAAGTTTAGGCGGTGTCACTTTTTGTTTTAATAGAAACTTCTAGTTTACTGAAGTAAAGGTCATCTTCCCAGCCTCTCCCTGGGCTTTTTTTGCTTACAGCTAGCACTACCACTGGAGCCACAGATGTATTTCTGGGCTTTGGGCTGTTAACTGGAGATAAGTCTGGTGGGGAGAGGGATGTGGCTTAGTGGTAGAGTACTTGCCTAGCATGCACGAAGCCCTGGGCTCAATTCATCAGTACCACATACACAGAAAAAGCTGGAAGTGGCACTGTGGCTCAAGTGGTAGAGTGCTAGCCTGGAGCAAAAGAAGCTCGGGATGGTGCCCGGGCCCCAAGTTCAAGCCCCAGGACTGGCAAAAAAAAAGTCACGAATTTTTTACTTTCCTGCTTGAGCTGGCTTTGAATCCTCAGTCCTTAGACCTGGGCTTCCTGAGTAGTTCCTATCACAGGCTTGAGTCCCACTACCCAGCATCATTTTTTCTTTTTTTAGCCAGTTCTGGGGCTTTTAGCTCAGTGCTTCTCTCAGCTGGCTGGCTTGCTCATAGCTGGTGCTCTACCACTTGTACCATGCCTCCAACCCAGCATTGTTAGGTAGTTTACAGGAGCAAGCCATAAGCACTCAGCTTTGCATGCAAGTTTCCTTATTTGTAGGAAATAATAATGCCGCTTTCCTAAGATTTGTGAAAGCATGTCATGGGACAAAGCAACCAAAGCCTCTTATATGTAGCATCAGTGAGTGCTGGTGCTCTGAGCACCTCCCAGGTAATGCCACTGGCTGAACCTGAAGTCTCCTGAGAGACTTGCTGATAACAGTACCCATAGAGAGTCCTGTAGCCAAGTCCAGCTGGATAGGGCTGCTACCAAAAGCACTTAAAGATGCACTGGTCCAGTGAGAGAAAGAGCAGCCTGAGCATGTCAGAACATGGTAGACTAAGGCCTCCTACTCTGTTTAACCCGATTCTAGCTTCTTCTGTTATACCTTCTCTATAAACTATGAAATTTGACTCCGTTGTGGAAAACGGAATGAATGGAGAAAAGTACATCCAACTGTATTTGACAAAGTTTCCTGGTGGACTCCCACATTATCCTAATTCTGCATCATCATCTGACTATTTACTTATGTGCACCTTAGTTAAACTTGTCAATCTAATTCTTGAATCATTTTTTCAATCTGTCTTGGATTCTTATAGTATTTTCTCCTTTGTAATGTGATTCAAGCTGCTTATATTGCCTGCTCAGTGTTACTCTTCTAGACACTGGTTCAGATGAGAAAGGAGAGTACACATCACACTCTGGCCAGCTTTCCCCCAACCTAAGGGGAAGTAGGCAAAGCTGCCGTTCCCCTTCCTTCCCTTGCTGCCTCTTAACTCTTATTCCATTGTGTCTGTGAAAATGTCTCCTTTTAAGTGCTGGTCCCCTGGACTGGTTATCCTCTCCTCTTACCGAGACTTGTGTCTTCTTCACAACCCTGTCATTGCTCCAGATGTCTCCAGTGCTCTGGCTGCTTGGAATCCCTGATGTCTTCACTGTAAAGGCTCACTTCCCTTCTGCATGGTGACTGGATGGCCAGTGTTTACTTCCCAGTTCCCCCCAAGTGTGGCTGCCCCTCTTTGACTGACTGTTCGAAGACCAAGCTCAGTACTATGGTTCAGCCGGGTACAGGTGGCTCACACTTGTAAACC